CACAAACCTGAAGCGTGAGGACTGATAATGCACAGGGACAGGCCCAAACTCAGCATTTCGCTTCCAAATCGGGATCCCAACATCAGCCCCTAACAGCGAAAGTGCAGCGCCTTGCGCGGCAGCGTTCCCGTCCCCTTCGAACTCCGTCTCAACCACCTGCATCCTGCGGCAGTGAGTTCCCCACGTTAACCAAACTGATCGTCTACTGAAAAGAGGTGCTGAATGGACCTCAACCATGCAGCCCAGCATCCGACGGAGAACCACGCTTAGCGCACGGGAGCAGGGCTTTCCATCACCCAAGCTCAGCCTTCACCCTACCGGGAAGCTCGTGGCTCGTAGCCCAGAAGATGGGCTCGTTTTGCCCAGGAAAGCAAACATCGGAGGCAAGACTTGAGCCCCGAGCGTGGTGTGTTTCGTGGGGGGGGACGGGACACAGCGCACTGAATGAATGCCGGGCTACCACGAATGACCAAACCCCAGTAGGAGGAAGAGCGCTGTGTCACGCACGCACGCACGCACACGAAATCGCACACCCACAGCTCCAGGACCGCGATTCACAAGCAGACACTGCCAGCAACAAGAGTCTGACCTTTCTCACGAATAAATAACGTCTGAAAAGACTGTCCGGCTCCTTCGCTGTCCCTCCCATCCCCAACGACTCCCCCCTGGACCGGGAAACAATCTCGCCAAAGAAAATACCTAACACACGTCTGATGTCGGATGAGCGGGTTTCCCCTGAAAATGACTTTAAATACTATGGCCGACAGGGGTGGGGAATAACCGTGCTAGCAGCAAACTGGGAACAGACACGTTCAGTCTTCAGACATTAAACTCCAATACAATAGTCCTTAAGCATAGTGTATAAACATGCGGAGTATATATATTTTTCTTTAAAACCTTTTTTTTTTTTCTGTCTTCTTTATAGAAATAAATACTTACTTTGTTTCTTTTAAGGTCATTTCATAGTCTCTGTGCAGTGTCAAAAGGTGACCTCTCAGAGTACAGTATTTGTCGCCAAGGGACTGTCTGGTTTTCAAAGGTAGCAAAATGTGACATTTCGGGGGGGGCTGTGCTGTTTTCTTCTTCCTTATATTGTAGCTTTTCTCTTTGTTTTTTTGCATTGTTGCTGGTTGCGGCACCTTGCATCTGCAAGACAATCCTCACTTCTCGCCCCACGGCCCTTCCCAACCACAGGCTGCGGTCAAATGGGAGCAGCTCAACAACCTATGGAGGTGTGGTCCACATGGACTACAAATCCCAGCATGCCACAGCTCCAACTTGATGCCACTGCAAAGGGCAAGGGAGAGTACTGCATGCTGGGACGTGTAGTGCTGGGACATGCTTCTCTAGTTTTTATCACTCCATTTTATGCAGTGAAGAACAACCTCCATATGGAGGAGAGAGGAAAATCTGGGTGTCCCTGATCTAGGATAACACGTTGCAAAACCAACACCCCCCAAGAGCGGCTCCTCGCCCCAGCTTTCGGAGACAGGGTGTGCAAGCACCTGTTGAGATTGGTCCATGTACACCCAACCCTGCCTCAGAGCCGGGGGCTGGACAAGGTCCCTTCCAGCCATACATTGCTACAATTTAATTAGCCGCTGAAAAGCGGACCCAGATTTCAAAACACCCATCATTAGGGGGTGACTGGGTCCAGGTTTGGTGCATTTGCAATTGTTAGGGAAGGAACTGGCTTTGCAATCTGAATGCCAAAGCACTAGGGGCTTGCACTGGGGGTCCTGGGACTGGGGGCAATTTGGTTTGGTTTCTGATTAGATCCTAGATGAGCGGCTCCCCGCTTCTCTTGCAAATCCTCCAGCCTGGAGGGTCTCCAAGGTGGAGACCTCTTCATGACATCGGTGTGGACGAAGTTGCCATGCATTGCCTATTGCACGGGGCCGGCCTCATCTGACCTTCTCTTGTAGACAGGAACTGGACAAAGGCACCTCTGGGGTCCCCCACCCCTGTTTCACGTGGGTCCCTGGCAGAAAGGTAGATGGAGAAGAAAGTTCAGAGATTTCCGATGTCTGGAAAGGCCTCTGTAGCCTCCTCGCCCTGAGAAAGACCCAGCTTCCAGCAGCGCCAGACACCATCCCCGGGGACATCCTGCCCGACAGCTTGGAGACCTGAAGAGCTACAACCAAGGCCAGCCGCTGGTTTCTTGGCACGGTCTGCGAGCCCATTTCCCCAGGTTGGTTCATGCCCTACCCCTGGCTGGCCGACAGCTTCTGGATACAGCATGAAATACGAGTCCCCATTCCCCATCAACTACCTTCGCCGCTCCTGGAGCATGGCGAGGTGCTTCGACGACTGGCTTTATCGCTCTTTGGGGCCGCACAGCAGGGTCCTCGATACAGGATCAAGGCTGCAAAGGATTAAGATCAGAGCTCCCCCCTGCACCGATGGCGCTGCTCCAGTCGGTACCAACCTTGGCATGGGAACCGGTCGGCATCTTTCCTCTAGAGGCAGAGGATAAAGAGAGGCAAAGCTGGCCAGGCTACTCTCAAAAGAGCCCTTTCTTTTGGAAATCCCTGCCACAAGATTAACTATTGCAAAAAAAAAGCAGGATCGGCAAAAACGGGGGCCCGTGATGGAAAGAAAGAACAAACCGGGGACGGCGATCTCCGTTCAGGGTGGACGGGTGCATCACAGAGCAAGGTTTTGGCCACGTGGTTCTTGCTTAAAGCTAGTCAGGAAGGGACGTGATGGATTGGGAGGTGCGACGTTGGCTCCCCTCTAATGCACGGTCCACCTCTCTGTCCCTGCTGGGCAGTTTGGCCCGGAGGGAGCTACCAGATGAAAGAGGAGCGCCCTTCCCTGAGGACGGGCCCAGGATGTTTGTGCAAGCTGAGTCGCTGCAAGGCAAAGGCCCTGGGGTGGGGTGTTTGAAGAGATGGTTTATTGCCTTGGCAGGAAGGGGATTTGGCTTCCTCGCTGGGTGAAGAGGGCATGAGGCCGGGCAGGCGTCTCTGTGCGGAGCCAGCATCCACTCCATCAGCTCCTCGCCGCCCACGAAAAGGGGCGGTCTCTGTGCTCTGCGGTTGCAGCAGTGCCTGCTGGTCTGGTTTCCGGGGGGGCACATGCCCCACGTTTGGTTTTCCTCCTTGAAATGAAAATGAAGACGGGTAAAACAAACAGCAATGCCAGGCCTTGCTTCCTGCAAGCGGGCGGGAGTCGCCAGAGACGCCTTTGGCCTTAAAAACCACGACAGGATGGTCCCCAGGAATCCACCCAGCCTCCGTTTGCACAGCCACGCGTGCAACCGAGAATCACCAGCTCAAGGCCCGGCCTCAAATTAGCCGTTTCCATTTCGCGGGAGAGGAGAGAGACGCTCGCCTGGATGGACGGTCGCAGCCAAGAGCCCGCAGGCCGGGTCCCGGAGCTTCCCGGCTCCCATGAAAACAAAGAAATGGAGTTCAAAGAAAGAAACATCCCCAGAAGGAAGATCCTTGGCAGCAGGCTGCCGCGGGGTTTCGAGCCTTGCTCCCTCAGCCAAGTCAGGAGTAGCCCTGTCCAGGAAACCCGTTTTGTAGCACCTTCCCGCCCATGCAACACTCTCCGTCCACCCCCAGCGAGGGAGTGTGACGCTGCCAGTCACGAAGGCCCGTGAAAGTCTTGTGCGCTGGTTGGCTTCTCCACGGCGCCGGGTTTGGGGACGAACGGCGGACGGACGGTTTGGTCTCACGGCGTCGGAGGAGGAGGCACGTTGTCTCCCCCTGCAAGGCTAGCAGCCTCCTTCCACCTTGACGTGCAAGATCTTGGAGAAGCCAGGCCTTTTCCTCAGGGCCTGGAAGAGAACGGGGGTTCAGTGCACGGCAGACGGGGAGCAAACAACCGGGCGGGGGATCTGCTGAGCGCGGCTCTGCCCCTGTAGCTTGCGCAGCTCTGCAGAGGAGGAAGCAGAGGGCTGCTATTCCCATGTCAAATGGGAGGTCATCCATCAAATCTCCTGGCAGGGAAGAGAAACCCAATCCCCCAACTCTTTAGATGGGCCCCGTCCCGCTGAGCCCCACTCCACCCTCCATGAACCGCCACCCATTTCCGAGTCCCCTCCTCGTGCTATTTCAGAAGGAAATTTGCTGTCAATGGGAAGAATGTGCATTTAGCCTCTATTTCCCCTCGGCATCTTGAGGGCATCTCAGCTTACACCTGCCCTTCCTGTTGCAATTGCGCCCAAGGCCTTGGGTATCAATGACAGCAGAGGAGCCAGGATCTCCTTTCAGGGATAACCACGCGACTGCATCTCCGCTGACCTCCGCTGTGTGATGTTCGACTCGCTCCTTTATTTGCTAGTATTGCTCTGTATGCTCGAAAGCAACCTCTGGGGTTGCTTAAACCCTAGAGGTTGCTTTTTTGGGGGGTTTTTAGGGACAGGATGAAAACAGAGTCCCTAAGGAGAGGGCATGGGCAAAGAGAAACCCCCCTAGAGAACAATTTTCCAGTGCTGGGAATGCATTGATTTACACAGCGGAGTTAAGAAAGCCCCCAATGGTCCTAGAAAAAAACCTGCACTTCCATAGAAGTCATCCGAGGGAAAATGCAATCAAATGCCGGCGGCTTTGGAGATGAGGGACTCTGGGGCTATGGGCTGCATTTGAATCATCTTCCCAAAGAGTAGCTGGAGCAGTGGGGGTTACAGAGAAAGGACCCCCTGTCTGCCCTTCTCGCTAGCATTTCCATCTTGGGGGCAGCTCAAGCAAAAGCAAAAGCAAACGCTGATCACTCTGCTCTCTCTCAGATGGCACGAAGTGGGCAGAAAAGGCTCTCTGAAAATTTCACCATGCAATGAGCTCCATGCTGGCTCTGCCCCTGTTCAGCTCGGGGTATGGCTAGTGAGCTGGGCCTAGAAGCAGAGCGTGATTTAGGGTGGCTTTGGGGTGCTGGCCAAGAATATGAGGTGCTCAACATGGGCTGAAAGTGTTGGCACTGGATCTGTAACCCAGACAGCTTGTTCCGGGCAGACCCAAACCCTCAGACCGACCATTATTCTTACCTGTTATCACTGTGTATCAATAAAATGTGCCTATTATTGAACGGACAGGTCGCGGTGGGTCTGAGGGTTTGGGTCTGCCCAGGACAAGGTGTCTGGGTCACAACTCCAGTGCCAACACAAGCTGCCTTAACTTCTCACTTCTTGTCCTTGTGCAGGAGCTGAGCATGGAGCAGCATTTGCACCGTTTGCTTCCTTGCTGCAACTCCTGTCGCTTGGCAAATTACATTAAGTAAATCAGTTTTATTTCCTGTTTTATTTCCAGTTTGATTTTATTTGGTTCAGATGCACAACCAAACCATTGCTTCCCTGCGTTCAAGATAATGGAAAAACCCGGATAATATTTCTGCTCGGGTTGGGTTTTATAAAGCAGTCCCTGTCCCAGGCCTTTACAAATGCAAATCAAAGCAAATGCTGGGCCTTTGTTCAATGGACTGAACTTGCTGAAGTGTTTGAGAGGGCTGCCCCAAGCAGAACCAGAACAGAAGAGCTGCCGCGTCCTGGGTCAGATCATAGGTGCGTCTTGCCTAATATCCTATGTCACATAGTGGCAGAGGGCGAATGCTGAAGGGGAGAGTGGGCTGGGTTTTAACAGCATTTCTCTCTCACTTGCACAGCGTTCAAAGCAGGGATGCACCCTGGGTTTATAAAGTGGCATCACACTACTTTCAGTTTTGTTCACAAGTCCCTTCTTAGTAATCTTAGTAGTCCCTATCATTTTGGTTTTGTCTTCTGGATGGCTGCTAGGTGCAGAGCTGATGTTTTTAGTGAATGGCCTAGACCTCTTTCCTGTGTGGAAATAGCTTATGTAGAGCTCAATCAATTCTGCAAAGTGTGAAAAAGCAGTCGCCGGGCCTCAAAAGAACAAATGAGATTGACTGAAAAATTGTAAGATTAAATAAAAAAAACAACCCCAAAAACAAAACCGGGGTTGTTTTTTTTGGACTTGTGATTTCTGAGCCATCAGGACATACTCAGGTCCTAATTCTTTCTTTTCCGCAGCCACGAGGGCTAAAAATGCACTTTAAGGAAAACAAACAGAAAAACCCCAATTGAGATTCATGCGCTCCCTGGATTCCCGGAGCTGGGGCTTTAAGTGAGACACCAGCTCTCACGAGGCATGAGAGTGTTGGTAATCCTGCATAACTGAAGCTAAGCAATAAGGAATAGGATAAATAGGCTGAAAATTTTCTGCAATAAGGAACAGGACAAATATTTGGCAAATTTTCTGCAATGGGAAATAGGACAAATATTCTGCAATAAGGACTAGGACAAATATTGTATCCCTTCAAGTGAGGCTCTCCAGGTGTTTTAGGACATTCATGAATTAAAGCTGCCCCTGGATGCGGCTGGGAGAGATTTCCTCTGGGGACCCAACGCCCCCAGGCCGTGACTCACCCAAGGACCCAAGGGACCTGCACCTGCCTCCCTTTACCTGGAGCTTGTTCACCATCTCCTCAAACATCTTCCTGGCTTCGGGGCTGTTTGGCTCCTTGAAGTAATCCATGATGCCCACCTGCACCACGATGGACTTCAGGTTCCGGCAGACACCTTGGGCAACAGAGAAACAGCCTGGGAACAGCCCCCGGGCACGGGGGTAGCTGCTGGATTTGGGGCTGGGTGATCAAAAGGGCACAAACCCTATTCAAAATCAGTGGCATGCGGGCTCTGAGCTAATCCAGGTGCCTTTCAACCCCTCCTGCCTCAGCGTGACCTACCTGTCCTCCCTCTGGGCATTCACCTGGAGCACTGGGCCTGAAGAATTGTCTCCTGCTGTCCCATCCTGTTTCCAATGCCTGTGGCATTAGTGCTCCTGTTCCTTCCCCTAGCAGACCGTGAGGAAAGGTTTCTGGAGAGCCCATGCACAATTTCACGCCACCTCCAATGTACCCCCAATCTACTGAGCTGGCAGAGGCTGCAAACTTAGAAATCCTATTTGCTTAACACAGCCAGGGACTATCTCTGGGCCTCAATGCCTCTAGCAAATGTCATAGGGAAGGAACTAGATCCTGACTTCAGTTACATCAACATGAATCGGGGATAACTCCATTGACATCAAAAGAAGAACTCCAGACTCCTAAAGGTGTAACTGGAGGCTGGATCCAGTCATTAGCTAGAAGAGCCCAAGGCCGGGATATCGTTGGGACGCGTCGGGATGTCAGCGCATCCCGATGGGACGCACCGGGATGTCAGCGCATCCCGATGGGACGCACCGGGATGTCAGCGCATCCCGATGGGACGCACCGGGATGTCAGCGCATCCCGATGGGACGCATCGGGATGTCAGCGCATTCCAGTGGGATGCACTGGGATGTCAATGCATCTTCCTCTCTAGCTGTAGTATGCGCGAGCACAGTTCTGCAGGTGAGGTGCAAGGAGCCTCCAGTCATCTCCGCGGCTCCCTGCAACTGCTACTCACTGTTGAAGTGCAGCAGGGCTTTGGGGGTGACCGGCGTGGAGGTCAGCACCAGCATCTCCAGGCCTTTCAGGCCCTCCCGACACACCTCGGCCGCCACCTCCTGGTTAATTTCCGTCACGTGGTCGAGCTCCAGCACCTGCAGCCGCATGCAGTTTCGGGCTTGCGAGATGAAAAACACACACAGGGTCAAGTCAGCCAGGCCCCCAGGACCCACAAGTAGTGCTGGGCAAGGCTTTACCAGCCTTGGGAGGTGCAGTGAGCTTTGTTCAGGAGGTGGAGACGAATGACGGAAAACGAAGCCGTGCAATAGGAAACGGAAGGAGGGGGTTTACACCCTGGCCAACAGGGAGGACCAGGGGTCAATAATGCATAATGACCTCCCCATTGGGATCTGCACGACAAAGATGTGGGAGAGCCCCTGAGCTACCTGGAGATTTCGCCTGCTTGGGAGAGAATCCAAAACACCCCACAAAGCTGACCCGGCTGCATCCCCTCTGCAGCAACCCCTGATGGGAGCGCGCCGATGAGAAAGTCCACCCGCATTTACCTAAAGATGCCAGGCCCTGAACGCCGCAGCCGGCGCCCCCCACGCCCAGCGCGCGCAGGTGCGGCCAGCATCGCCCGATCATCTGAAGGCAGCGGTTGCTGAAACGGGTTGGCTGCTGGCTGGAGAGGAAGAACAAGGAAACAGCAAGGGGATAAATTATTCCAGTCGCTGTCGGGTCATGGCAGCCTGGGGACAAGAGCTCTAAAACCAGAGGTTACAACCACCTGTGCTGAAGAAAAGCTGCTGTTAACAGCTGGGAGCATCCAGGCTTGTAGCATTTGTATGTCTCCAAGGACTAGGAAGGAGCACAACAAGTTTTGCACGCCCCCACGTCCATTTTTCCAACACGCGTGCATGCAGTCGTGTGCGCACACACGCACACAAGCCACAACACCCCCCACATCTGGACATGTTTCCTGAAGAAAGGACCAGCACATTAAGCATTCAACACTACAAGTCCATCCCCCCTCCAAAACGCTGCCCTGGGGGTGTCGCACTTCAGCCACTAATAAGGCACAGTTGGATGCGACAGGGTATTGCTGAAAGTCAACCAGGGTCATCGGAAGAGAGGAGCCTCGGCTGTGTGGGAGCTGAGTACCCTGACCTGATTTTTGGGCTCATCCCACGTGTGCTGTTATCTAAGTCATGCATTTATTAACACCTTGGGACTTTTTTTTCCCCCCAGACACCGAGGAGTGGGGAACCTCCCAAAGCTTCACGCCCAAAGAGCACACACCTGGGAAGTGAGAGAAATTACAGTCGTGTCTGAAACAGCAAAACTGAGCATCCTTGCAAACAAAAGCACACCCGGCTGTCGGGGCTGCTGTTATATAAGCGGGGAAGGGACCTGACAGCCATTTGATGTGCAGGTTTGCTTACCGGCACAATCAAACTCCCCTTTCATCCCTGAGGGATCAGCATCCTTTGCAGCATTCTCCTTGACACATCCCTAAAGCTTTTTGAGTCTCTGCTACTAGAGACGAGACTGGATTTCTCTTTCTGGATATGTATCTTTTTGACATATTAGAACAAAAACGTCCAGGTTTTTTTCTTATTTAGGGGCCGTACGCTGTAGCTTAAGCCTAAATCTGGCACTGCATGGGGGGCTGGATGGATCTGGCCTGTGAGGCGGAGTTTGAGTACCCTAACCCTAACCTGAACCCTAAAACAGAGCACCCCTGTTTTAGACCATTAGACGGGCAGGAACCAGCTATTTGGTTCAGATCAGGAGCCCAATTTCTACAGATCCCAGGGTGCTTGGGTCCAGTTGGGGCTTCAAACGCATCTCTAGATTGGCCCTCCAGCGGGCACCGATGTCTGCACTGCTTCTGTGTTGCTCTCCTAGCCGGACGCGTCTGAGTCCACACCCGGTCCTATGCGGAGAGCTTCACCGCCACGTTTCTGGGCTTGGCTCACGTGAGCACAAGCCCGTGGCTGAGGTTCGTGCAGGAGTTTCCTCCCTAAGAGACCCAGGGAGGCGATGCAGACATGCCCACGCCACCCAGCGTTGCTCTTACCAAGGGTGTAGCGGTGCCACCTGTAAAGAGATGATGTCCCTGCAGCCGGCTCCCAACGCCCAGATGACTTCGTGACCCACAGGGTCTGTCGAACTCCTGGAAGGATACACAGAGCCTCGTGTTATGATTCACCAGCTGCAATGCATGTCCCCAAAGCTTGTAGGGGCATTTCCATAGCATCTAAGCGTGGAGGGTACCAGAGCATTAATACTCCATGTCCTCCAGCCAAAAAAACCCCTATTTTCTTCTTGGTGCTGTTGGAAGGAACAAACGCCTACACTAATGAGAGAAGGAGAAACCTCCACCCCCACGTGTACACACTCCAGGATGGCCAAAGTCATATCCACCTTAAGCCCACACATAGGTGACACCAACAGAGAGGGAGGAAAATTAATTCACTTCTAGCTTGAGTGCTTCGGAGACAGTGATCCCGCATCCAGCCAGGAAATAGTGACGGCTTAGACAGCTGCTACGTGACCTTCTCCTCTAGGCCCTGACAATGTATTTCAGTCCCAACCACTCCTGAGAGTGAGAGAACTTGTCGGGAGGAGATCTTCCAGGGCACGCAGGGCAAGTGGGCACCCAGCTCTTGGAGGATGCCATCAGGACTTGGGTCATTGGAAAACCTTTCCTGAAATCATTCCTCTCTACCATGCAATCCCAAACCCTTTGAGCCTGTCAACCAGGACGCTAATGCATGCCCAGCTTGCTCCGCATTGCACCCACGGCGCCCATCTCTGAACCGATCGACTCAGTGCTGCACAGAAATGGCTCCTTACTCCAGCGGCCTCGCTCAAACTCGAACCAGTCATCCCCACTGGTGCTCCTGGTCTCCCAGGACCACCCCATCCCACAGAGCATGGCGCGGTTCTGCAGATTAAGCCCATGCTGCTAATTTTGAACGACCCAGTTCTTAACTTCAAGTGAACCTAAAAATAAGTCAATTGTGTTATCTTGAGCACTCATACATCTCCAATGAAGCCGCCTGCCAAGATTCCCTTACGAGTCTGGCTCACACTTAATTAAAATAAGTGAGTCATGTTGACAGGTTATCAAGCTGCCAATGGCCTCTGGTGAACATGAATATTCGGGGCTGCTGCACCATTAAAAGAAAGAAAGGGTGAAACGGCTGATATATTAAGCTACAAGTTGTGCTCTCAGATCCCACCTTCTTTTTTGGGGATCCCGAGTTCGGAGTCAAGGTCTCGCTCTTTTGGAGAACGGGAGCAGTGGGGCTGAAAGGGGGGGATATCGAAAGATTTCTCCCCGTGGTAGTATTCCCCGTTATCCAAAAGGGTCAGACATCACCGCAGCTGGGTGAAAAACTCAGTTTTCAGCTTGCTGGCAATTCTGGGGGAGAGGGAATATCTGAAAAAAAAAAAATGTTTGGGGTATTTTTTATTTAATAGAACGGCAGGTGGTTTTGAAACAGCCCAAACTGCTCGTGCAAACCACGCTGGCTTTTCTGAAATGGTTTTGCACACAGTTGGCTCAAATAGAGATGAATTTGCAAAATGTTCTGGTGCTGCTGAGTCGGCATGTCTCACCAGAAAAAAAGCTTTGGCTGAAAAAGTTTCCTCCACTCATGACGGTAAAATGCGGTGTCCGCCGTGGTTTAATACTACCCGCGTGTCATTGCGGTGTCGAGCGCCGAAGAGCACCAACCTCTAAGCGCTGCCGGAGTGCACAGAAATAATCAGCGTCCTAGGAGGGCAATAGGGCACCACCCGAACTGGACGGTGGAGAAAGAAGCTGCATTTGCTCTCTCCCCCTTTGCAAGCATCTCACTTAACAGATGAGAGACCCTGAGAGCTTGCATGGAGCACAGACTTCCACCAGCAGATCTTTTGCCATCTGAGAGACCACCCAACAAGGACGATTTTTCCCGTCAAAGGAATCTGCACAAACCCAGAGGGAGAGGAAGATGGGCGGTCGAGTGGTTTGGTTGCTAGTCCCGCTCTGCAGAGGCTCCCTGCATCACCTTGGGCAAGTCACTTAATGTTGTTCTATATCACGGCTCTTCCCTGCCCCCTTGGGCGGTTGAGGAACTAAATATATTAAGGGCCATGAGAACCTGTGGGCTGCTTTTGTAAAGAAAGTGAGATATTTTCATGCAAATCTTAAAAGCTGGACATCTGTTGTTAATTTGGGGGGCTGGACCCGAGCTGGTAAGGTCCCTTCCAGACCCTAACATCTATGAAACTATGAAACCTTTGGTATTACAGCTCTGTCTGCAAGTCACGGATGCTCTTGCACGTCTCGCTAAGCTCTGATACAACAACTTCTGTGAATGATGCTTCGTAGCATCGCCCGGGAACCTCCGACTTAACCGGGCAAATGATGCCCTAGCCTCAGTTATTCATGCCTTTGTCACCTCTTGGCTGGATCAAGGCAAGGCGCCATGCATGAGCACACCAAGCCCACCCTGTGCTCCCACAGTGGCTTTCAAGTTCAAGGCTTCGGTAGTGTATTTAAAAGGACCTAAAGCTCCAGGGTGAAGGCTGCGGCAAACACTTCTACTCCCCTGGTCCCATCTCTCAGGATGAAGCTCATGTGTGGGAGACAAAACCCTGCAGAGGCTACACCCAGACTGCGACTGACCCCCTCCAGCAGCCACCCTCACCACCCTCTGCTCCAGGGGCAAGGCGGGCGTCTGCGACCTTGGCTTTTCCAATGCAAATATACAGTGACAAAACCCCAAATAACCAGGGCTCTCCGCAGCACGCTTCTGCCCTTGGGGAGAGGAAGAGAGAGCAAACAGCGCTTGCCAGATGTTAGTCACGTCTTTGAATACGCTCCTGGAAAGCGCTCAGTCAATACGGTGAAGAGGCACCGTGGAATAATGAAGAGTCCTGGAAAGGACCATGCCGGGGGAGAAACAGGCTTGTGGAAATGGAAATAGGCTGCTGCCGACTAGGCGTGAGGCTGCGGGTTTTATAGCGACCCATTCACACCCCTTGCTGCACAGGCTGCACTGCCTCCGTGCACGCTAGCTCCCGAACCGGAAGCAGCAGAGCTGCATGCACGGGAGGGTGAATTAGCACAGGGAACAGGCAGTGCCCATTAGCCTGCCCACAGCGCTGCGTGGAGGTGGTCCACGGCTGAGGACAGAGCTGGAGCCGCGTGGCGCATGTCAGCCCAGCGCTGGCAGCAGGGCAAGGGCAACGGCGAGATGTGCCGTGAACATTTAAGGACGTAAGACTTGCCATTTACTGGGCACATCTACACGAGACGTTTGCTGTGCAGTAGACTCATTAGCTGTGCAGCAAATAGATTTCATAGACATTAGGGGCTGGAAGGGACCTTGCGAGATCATCGGGTCCAGCCCCATGCCCAAGGGGCAGGAAGTCTGCTGGGGTCAAATGATCCCAGCAAGATAGGCAGCCAAACACCTTTCAAATGAGTCCAGAGTAGGTGCTTGCACCACTTCTGGGGCGAGTCTGGTCCAGATCCCGAACACTCAGACTGTAAAGACATTTTTCTTTATATCAAGTTTGTTAGACCTTGTTATCCCTTGGGGAGCCCTGGTGAACACCAGTTCTCCCAGATCCTGATGCACCCCCCTTATGGACTTATAGGCAGTCACCATGTTCCCCCTGAGCCTTCTGCTTTCCAGGCTAAAGAGTCCCGTGTCCCCCAGCCTCTTCTTGTATGTCTTGCTCTCTTGGCCTCCTCCAGGCTCTCTCGAGCTTATCCACATCCCTCCTGAACTGGGGGCCCAATACCAGACACAGTACTCCAGCTGCGGTCTCACTAAGGCCCAATACAGTGGGAGGATGACGTCCCTGGTTTTGCTCGAGATGCATCAGTGGATGCATGCCAGCATTTGGTTTGCTTTGCCAGCCACAGCATCGCACTGGGGGCTCGTGTTCATCCTGCGGTCAATCAAGACCCCCAAGCCTCTTTCAGTCGTGGTGCAAGCGAGCGTAGCACCGCCGAGCCTGTAAGAATATGATGCTGGTTCCTCCTCCCAAGGTGGAGCACTCTGCACTTCTCTGCATTAAATGCCATTAGGGTTTGGTCTGCCCACCTTGCGAGCGTGCCCAAGTCGGTCTGTATCCCCAACCTGTCTTCCAGCGTGACCGCCTTCCCCCGTAGTTCAGTGTCGTCTGCGAACATTGCCAGTTTGCATCTGGTGCCCGAATCCAGATCATTAATGAAGCTGTTGAAGAGTACTGGCCCGAGCACTGAGCTGGGGACAGTATTCAAGGTGCAGATGCACCACAGATTTATAACGGGGGATCACGAGACTTTCAGCTTTTAGAATTCCCTTAATAATCCCATAATAATAATAACAACAACAACAATAATAATAATCATCCCATAATAAGCATAATAATCACAACAATCCCTTAATAATAATAATAATAATAATCCCATAATAACAACAATAATACCAATAAATATAAACAATAACAATAATAACAATAAAACTACCAATTACCATTATTATTATTATTAATAATAATAATCATCATCATCATCTTTCATTTCTACCCAAGAGAAGTTTTACAATCTTTTCTCCTATGCCTGAAACAGGGTATTTGTGCCTGAAAGCTTGCAATTAAAGGCATTTTTTTTGCAAAAATCTAGTGGGTCTAATAAAAGATATCTCCTCTAGCATGAGTTCTGATTCCTTAATAATCTCTTACATTTGTTTGCCTTTTGACAGCTGCTGTTTAAACATTTCCCAGGGAAAAAAAGCAGCAGAACAATCTCCTCGGCAACAGGAGCCCAAACCTCAATCCCTGCTCACTTCGGGCCAGTGCAAGGAAATGCAGCCACCCGTTTCACAGACAGCCTCCCGCTGATTTTGCAAAGGGCTGGGGCTCCCGACTTCTCCATTCAGGATGAACCGAGGAACGACAGCCTCCGACATCCACCGACGAACCCAGCCAGCAGCATGCAGCTCCCCCTGCACGCTCCCCCTCCCCAGGGCCGTCACCTCGGCTGGCGGGGCTGGCTGTAATTACGGAGTTTACCACGGCTGCCCTGGCACGGGGACAATCGCCCGGCTTCATAAATAGCTCAGCGTGGAGAGCCGCGTCGCCCCAGAGACCCTGCGAAGGATGAAGGCCAGGGCGGCTGCCCCCTTTGTTAGCCCGTCACGCCTGCCGCCGGCGGCGAGAGAAAGGGAAAGGCCTCTGTGTCTCGTGCAGTTGTGTGAGGCTTTCTGGTAGCAACAGCAAGGTGTTTTAATTCAGACACAGGGCAGGTCTTCATCACTGCCCCAGGCTCGTATCCCACCAGCTCCGTGGCTCCCTCAGCATCCTTCTCCCCCACGGTGTGCTTTGCCAGAGACCACCCTACACCCTGTCTGCAATCACCATTATCAATTAATGCAACACTGATGAGAGACACAGGTGCTGCTTGCTCCCCTGTTGCTGTGCCCCTGGCTCATCCCTTCCCACCGGGTTATTTTTCCTGGCTTCGTTCTGATGACAAGTCTGGTGGCAGAAGCAGGCAAGACCGAGGCCGGCTGTGTCAGCCTCCTCGTCTGGAAGTGTGCATCTACCCAACACCCGCGTGTGCACTCATGAAGCACAATGCATCCACGTGCCCCTGCTCTGTGTGCAGCAGATCCTGGGGACGAGGCAATGCAGCACCCTTCGCGCAGTGCCGAGCCCATCCCCAGCACCATAGGGTCTCTATGTGAAGCACGTGCCCTAAAGTCCCAGTCACTGGTGTGCAACTACCACCTGCATCATCCCCTACGCTGAATGGCAGCAGCTCCATTAGAAATGCCATCAGCAAAGCCACAGGCTGTACCTGTCTGCATGTTTCTAAGTGCCTAAAAGAAGGGACCCTGCCCTTTGTCGCTCTACTATCTGCCCAGGCTGCTGGAAGTTATGTCCCACATCCCAGCCTGTCCAGGGAGGTTCAACTGAAGGACCCTTTCCAGCTGTAGGATGGCATGAGCACTGGGTCTCAGTGAAAACACATTCACATCATGACTTCCAGCCACCAGCCGGAGACTGGAGAGCCCCCAGAGCCTGGCCAGCCCCCAGCCAGGTCCATCTCCAGGCTAGTGGGGGGCTGCCCATGTCATAGCTGCTCTGTACATAAAGCAAAGCCAAGGGAGTCCTGGGCTGTTGGTTCATCTCCAGATAGTATTTAGCAGCCTAAAGACCCCAGGGTACATTGTCCACACCTCTCTAATACCAGAATGCACCAGGTCTTCCTGAAAGCATCCAGCAAAGCTCACCGCACAGCCTCTTCGGAGGCTCACCCCGTTGCAACAGCAAGCAGCCAGCACTTGAGAGCAACCGGATGCATATGGTCCCCAACCAGTCCCAAACTGGCAGCCCAGCTTGGAGGAATAGGGCTGGAAAGGGGCTGTCTGCCAGCTGCCCCAGGGCACAGCAGCCTCACCCAGCTGCCTGGCACAGGAGAGGGAGTTTTGCTGTCATGTGTCAGGGTCTGGGTTTCTGGGTCAGTGTTTTTAAAGGGCTGTGGGGTCCCAGTCTGGATGCATCAGCCCCTCTGGTGTGGTTTCGTGAGATTTATGGGGTTTAGCTCTCCCCAGCTCCTGGCTACCTCAGCCCCCCACCAGAAGGGCAAACACACTAAGCACCCGTGCCTTTCCATGTGCATGAGCAAGATGCTCTGAGAGGCGTCTTGGAGGCCGGCAGCCCTCCTCTCACCTATGCATGCATCACCGCCGGGTCTTGCAGGACCCCATCTTGCACGTACCGATAGGTGACGGCCTGGAGAGCCCGGCAGTAGCAGCTGGCCAGCCAGAGGGAGCGGTCCGTCAGGATGTTGGGGCAGTGAGAGATGCGGAGGATTAGCAGGTTGCTGCCCGTGGCCTTCAGCAAGGACTCCAGCCCGGCTTCAAGGCAGCCCCTGAGGGGAAACAAAATGCATCAGCAGCACTCCTTGCACAGTCTGCTCTCTGGGCAGCACGCACCAGGAGTCCCAGGAGGAGGCAGAGCCCAGGAAGCCTTGCACTGGCAGCCTGTCTGCTGTGGGCAAGGGTCTTGTGGGCACCAGCGTTGCCAACCTAGGACTCTTTGGGGTCCCGGTGGGTACGTTCAGGCTTCGGTGCTAGCCCATTGGGGTAATGCTGTAGCGCGAACCCCAACCTGGACAGGGGGAAGTGCTCCAGGGACCCATCCCACCCTTGACCATAGTCTGGGGGCTGTGTGGAAGGGGGCCTGGCTTGCTCCAAGTGGGTCCCCGACACCCTGCGGATGAAATTTGGGTGAAGGTGGAGGACGAGCTTTCTTCTTCTCTCTGCCTTAACTCCAAGCCACTTCTCTTCAGGTCCCCCCAGGCCACGGTGCCTGCTCCCCTTCTCCCTTCAGGCTCCCAGGACAAGACCGTAGCACCTTCATCCCAGCGGCAGACAGATAATTTCACCCCCTGTCCGTGCCCTCCCTGGGCTGAACGCAGCTCTCAGCCTAGGCTTCCCCCCGGCCCTGCCAAATCCCACCACCGTGCCACCGCCCTGCCCTCGCACTCGGGCCCTTTGCAAGGGGCTCTGTGCCCAGCCGGCTCTGCCTCGTTAGCACGGCAAACCCCCTAAGTGCCATCAGCTGCACAACCTGCGCTGCTCAGCGCTGGAGGGCTGAGGGGAGCGGGGGTCCTCGAGTATTTTCTGAGACCAGACTGCATTTCTGAATGCATCCAAAGCCAGAGGCAGGTGGTTTAACTGGCAGGGGGACAAGGCAGCCCCAAGCCTTCTGTAATTGGAAAGGGATTCCCAGGGAAATGGGACCTGTACCGATCCCAGTAACGGGGGCATGGAGACCAGCTGTTGCAGTGGGAGTTTGCAGTGGCAGGAGCCAAAGGGTTAAGAGCTGGGTCTCTACCCAATTAGCACGCTCTCGGTGGAGCATTAAATGGGAAAATCAAGCGCTGGCGCATGTCTCTGCCTGACAACAGACACCCACGGGGAAGCCAGCAGCACCCACAGGCGCTGGCCCCCGGGTCGTGGGATGGGATCTTTATGGGATGGGTGGCTCTGCCGCATTACAGGGAGGGTGGCAGCAGTGGGGTGGGAGGGAGGGTGGGGACGGGGCTCACCGTGTGCTTTTCATGTACTCCTCCTTGCTCTCCTTCTTGCCCCGCTGCCGCGGCTTGAGGTTCTGGAGGGTGAGGGAGTGGGTCTGGGTGCACCACTGAGACAGCATGCCCAGGAACTGGAGGGGAGGGGAGACCATCGTCAGGGGGAGAGGCGGGCAGGTGGGATACTACCACGGGACACGGCGCCTGCTCTCACCCCGGCTTGGAGAGGGGCAGGACACACACCCATCCGCCCACCCACACACACAGATGCACAGGCATGGCTAGATACACACACATGCATGTACACATGCACAGAAATACACACAGGCACAGGTGCAGAGACACGTGCACACCCATGCCAGTGTAGATGAATATGCACAGCAACAAATGCATAGTGATACACATCTGTGTGCATGCACAGATACGCACGCCCAGACACGTGCATACATAAACACATGCATATGTGCACAGATGAGGATGCTCAGGGTGTACACAAACAGATGCTTGCAAACACAGTGTGCATACGTACAGAGGCATACGCACAGTGATACACACAGGCACCCGTGTAGATAAACACACGTGTACACAGATATGCACACACATAGATCTAGAGGCTCGGGCACGCTGCTGCCGTCAAAGATCTTGGAGTGAGCAGGCCTGGAGGACCACACACACACATGAACACACATGTACACACTCATAAACACAACTATGCATGTGGGCATACCCACATGTAAACACATACACACTTGCACACGCATAAACACTACTATGCTTGTGGGCACACACACACTATAAACACAGCTATACATGTGGGCACACACACACAAACACACACTCAAACACAACTATGCATGTGGGCATACCCACACGTAAACACCCACACACATTTACACATGCATAAACATAACTATGCATGTGGGCACACACGCACACAAACACACACACACTAAACACAACTATGTATGTGGGCACACACACATAAACACATACACTTACACAATCTTAAACACAACTATGCATGTGGGCACACACACACACACTTACACACTCAAACACAACTATGATGTGGGCATATCCACACAAACACCCACACATACTGACACATACATAAACACAACTATGCACATGGGCACACACAACACACACACACACTATAAACACAACTATGCATGTGGGCATACCCACATGTAAACACCCACACACACAGACACTATAAACACACCTATGCATGTGGGCACACACACATACAAATACACATACACACATTATAAACACAACTATGTATGTGGGCACACACACATAAACACATACACTTACACAATCATAAACACAACTATGCATGTGGGCACATACACACACACTTACACACTCAAACACAACTATGATGTGGGCATATCCACACATAAACACCCACACATACTTACACATACATAAACACAACTATGCACGTGGGCACACACACACTATAAACACAACTATGCATGTGGGCATACCCACATGTAAACACCCACACATTTACACGCGCATAAACACACCTATGCACGTGGGCACACACACATACAAACACACATACACACACTATAAACACAACTATGTATGTGGGCACACACACACATAAACACATACAGTTACACAAACACAACTATGCATGTGGGCACGCATGCAAACACACACATTCAAACACAGCTATGCATGTGGGCACACCCACACACACAAACACACACACTCACTTACACACTCATCTGGCAGGAATCCTATGACCCCTGCTGACTTCCTGCCCCTGGGGCAGGGGGCTGGACTCGATGATCTTCCGAGGTCCCTTCCAGCCCTAACGTCTATGAAATCTATGAAATAAACACAGCCATGCATGCGGGCACACACACACACACATAAACACAAGTATGCATGTGGGCACACCCACACATAAATACACACACACACTTACACGCTCATGCACACAACCATGCATGTGGGCACACATTAAAACACACTTATCAACATAGCTATCTATGCATGTGAGTATGCACACACACACACACACACACACACACACACCAAACTGGGTATTTCTTTGCGGGGGGAGCAACAAAACTGTGCTGACCGACACCCCCTGGTTCCCATGTCCCAGATCATCCCAGCCGTGGCTTTGACCCCAGGCTGCGGTGGGTCCATCTTGAACCCTGTAGCCCCAGGCGCGCTGCTGGGGTCTCCCCCGGCTTGGCTGGGGCAGTCCCCGTTTCTGGGCCGGCGCTGCTCCCTGGGGGCTCCCCACATAGTGCCGCGCTGCAGGGCCCCGTACCTTCGAGGACACCCTGGCATTCTCCAGCAGCACGCGGGTCCACACGGCCGGGTGCCGCGCCACGAACTTCCAGTCCTTGCAGACCTCGGCGGCCCGCAGCAGGGTCTTGGTGTCGAGGTACGTGAAGATGCAGAAGAGCGCCGCCCGCATCTTGAGGATCTCGGGGCTGATCACCTCGTTGGAGCGGCACGGGCTGCCCTTCTCGGGCCTGACGGCCTTCCCGGCACCCCCCTCGGACCTGGCTGTGAGGCAGAAACAGTGAGCTGGAGCGAGGGGATTCAGGGGACTCGGCAGGAAGGTTGCTGAGGTGGGGGTTTGTCTTTACCCTTCTCTGGTGGGGGTGTCAGGGCGGGGGGGGTACCATTATCTTCCTGTGAAAGTGGGGGAAACTGAGGCATGGAGCAGCAAAGTGACTCACCCGAGGTCACAAAAAAACAGGACAGACCCCCAACCCTCCAGGAAAGGAAATCCCAAAATCTTAGTCTCCTCCCCTGCAGAAAGGGGACCCAGGAGTCCTGGATGCTGCCCCCCACCCCTGCCCCTCTGATGCAGAGCCCAGGAGTCCTGAATGCCATCCTCCAGACCCCCCCGCCTCTCGCCAAAAGGCACGTGGGAGCCCACCTCCACTTGCCCAGGCACCCAGCAGGGCTGGGCAAGCTGGTCCTCACCCCACCCGGCTCAGCGGGAGCATCGGGGGGAAGAAAGCAGAGCATCTGCCAGGTCCCCCCTGTGGTGGGAGATAACACATGGCTCCACGGCACTCCTGGCACCAAGGATACCCGTCACCTCGCTCCCCTCCTCTCTCAGCTCTGGCTGGTTCAGTGCATGGCTAGGAGGCCAAGTGCCCCCCTTGCCCCGGGGGTCTCCTGCTCCCCCAAAGGGAGGCTGGTCAGTGCAGACCTCGCAGCCTGGAGGGAGCAGGGCAGCCCGCCCCCGCCCCACGGACTGCAGACCCCGAGCCACGAGAATAAGAGGTCCAATGCAGACCTCTGGGGTAAGCGGGTGCAAATTCACAGGAATAGCGCCTGTTTCCCCCAGTGCTGGATTTGGCCTCATGCTTGTGCTGCTGTTGCCGTGACTCCCCCGATCTTCTCCTCCAGAGAAAGCATCCCTGACACTTCCCTCCCTCCCCTCTTTTTTTATTTTCCCAGGGATTTATATGCCTCCATTGCCATGGCAACCGAGTCCCACTCTCTACGGGAAAACGAGGTTAGAAGAAAGCCAAAGCTCCGACTCCTAACGAGAGCCCCCCGTGCTCGAGGGGTCACTGATGTGCAGCCACTTCGGAGGGGAGGGAGGCAGCGGCTTAAACACTTGTCACTACTGCCCAGGGCAGCCCGCACTCTCCGGGAGCCGGCGGGTCTACAAGGGAGGGAGACGACGACTAGATCTCCCAAAAGTTGCAGCTGAGATGGTGCTGGTCTGCTGGGATTAATGTCCTTTCCCTGCAGGGCAACCACCACAAGTGCTTAGCAGCCACTGCGGACCAACCCAGAGGTCCAGTCACTCCTGCTCCCATCTCTGGGCCTGGGCACAACATCCTCGGAGGTGTTGAAGACCCGGGTAGCCTTGTCTGGGATGATGGAGTTGGGGCTGGTCCTGCTTGGAGCAGGGGGTTGGACTGGATGTGACCCCATGAGGTCCCCTCCGGCCCTCATCTGTGGTGCTATAGGAGACAGTATGGAAGTCCCAACGGGGTGAGATGTCCTTCCCCAGGAGGTCTCATCCTGCTTTCTGATGCATAGCATCTGTCTCTCCCTTGAAGCGTGCAGGCTAACCCCCTCCCTCTTCCAACATAAAATCACAGACAACGAGGGCTGGAAGGGAGCTCAGGAGCTCACATCTAGTCCAACCTCCTGCTCCAACTAGCCAACCAACTAGCTTTGAGCATCAAGGACAATAAAAAGTCCTTTTTCAGATATGTGGGGAGCTGGAGGAAAAGCAGGGGCAACGTTGGACCCCTGCTGATCCAGATGGGGCAACTGACAACTGACGCCCAGGAAAAAGCCAACCTATTAAATAGGTACTTTGCATCGGTCTTTCATCAGTCCCATGGGACACCCATG